GGACAAAAAAAAAAAAATAAAAAAAAAAGGCCGGGAAAAAAAAAAAAAAAAAAAAAAAAAAAAAATCACTGCGACAGAGCTTACAGTAGAAACAAACTCTTCAAAAATGTGTGCAATATAAATCTTTCACCTGAATAAAAAAATGTAGACAACCAGGAAGACAGAACAAGAAAATAACACAGTGATTAGAAAAGCATACCGTGAAGACTGTAGCTGAAATGGCATAGATCAGAAGAGCCTGAAGATTGTCTTTGGCTATTTGAGTCTCAACAGCACTGGCAGATATTCGCTGCTTAGCATAGAGCCACCACAGGACTCCTGTACCACCTATGTTTTAGAGAAAACAAAAAAGGACAAATGAAAGATGCTCCTTCTATATGACACAGTTATACTACCTAGTACCAAAGAAACTAAACAGTTTCTTCCTTTAAGTCTAGTCTGGTACAGAATGCTCAAGGGCACTGATGGCTAACCCAACAGGATCTTCTGAGGATGGAGAAGTCCCCTCCTCTCAAGTGGATATACTGTTTTCACAGTCTCACCCCACTATGACCACTTAAGAGACTTGCAGATCTTTGACTGTGTTTTAGGGTGAAGCGCACAAGAGAACTAGTTCATGGGGAGCCCTAACAACAAAGATCACAGCTCCCATTAGACAGGCAATAGAGTAACAAAATGAAGAATAAAGAGTTATATGGTAGGACATATGTATATACGTGTATAATATGGTAGGTAGTAAGAATTTAGGAGGGAGAACAGAGAGGGACCTTTGGATTAGGATACAAAATAACACGAGGAACAAAGGGAGGAGTCTACAACTCCTGGGAAGACTAATCGAGAAGAGAAGGAACAGCCCTGATACTGAAAACAGCACCTCAGGTTAATGACACAAAGCTACAACTGTATCAGACTGTCTTTTGGGCATTGGAAAAAACATCAGTGAAAGGCTCAGGAGGCCAATATAGTGTGAGGTACTTTCTTCTAACCCCTGTTATGAAATCCTAGCCTTATGGCCAAAATTTCATTCTCATATTCTAGCTACCTTTCCAAGGTAGAACTTTTCTTAAATACAAGACTCTAGTGCCTCGGGGAGGCTTTTCAGTATCTCTTTTGAGTATCCTTCTCTGTTCTGTTGTTATTCCTGAATCAGCTGCATGAGCTTATCTAGAGATCACAAGTCTTTGTTGAAGGTACTCTGTTCAGGTCTAAAATGGAGGATGCTCTTTTGCTGTCTCCTAAACAAACAGTGAATACTGAATAAGCAGTATGTCTCACAAATAACGTGTTCTTATTCAGCCTGTGTAATGGATGCGATTTTTTAGAACATAATAACAGATGGCAATAAGTCATTCAACACTTTCACTTAACAGTTGCTCAGCTTCTAAAGGGAATATAAATGAAAAAAAATATCTAATTTTTTCCCTTTTCTGTGGTCAGATATCCTGTGAACAGTAAGCAGAAAAACCAAGTCATCCTGAAAAGACATAGATGGTCTGATGATTTTTTTCATCCCTTGCAGTCGTGCATTGCAAGAATTAAATTGCTAGTACTTCCTAATTTAATTATTCTATTTTCGTTCCTCCCCTACAGTCATCTGCCCATACATTCTGGCTTTGCTACTGAGTATCAGTAATAGAAAACTTCAGTTTTACAAATGTAAAAGTTAATGTGATAAAGCAAGGCTGTCTTAATGCAAGCTAAATCATTTTGGATGAGACAATCTTCAGCCATTCCCAAGATGGCATGGCTGGTTGCATTTCATACATGACGCAGGTCGTGCAGGACTTTGAATCATATGGAAATACAAGGATTTGATTAGAAATGCTCAGAAGAACCTTTGCTTCCTCTCCTCAAGAACAGATGTTAGATATACCTACAGAGCTACCGGGAGGACTGAAGATGAACCTATCAATGTCATATGGACACATCTACATCCTAAGGGTCCCCCTGAGGCTGCATAAACAATAGCTGCCCTTTGATTCCAGCACGCTTGAGCAGGTGGGTATGCCATCAGACACACCCAGACTAGCTGTCTTGCTCACATGTTTGGAAGGTGGGTTAACAAGTAGGCAACATTTAGGGCTGTGCTACAAGTGCTGTGAGGAATATCCTGTATTGCCTATGTGGGCTCTAGTGCAATAAGCTGACAAGAAGCTTGCCAGCCAAGCAGAGAGTGCCACAAATCTCTAAGGAGCAACATACTCTCTGGGAGAGGACTGCAATTACAAAGGTGGGATTTTTGACATTTGTGTTGCAAGGGATTCAAAGGAAAGCTAAAGGGAAAAGCATGGTCCAAGACCTGTGCAGGATGTAGTTGGCCTGAGGACACGGAGCACAAAGATTAGAACTGCACACTCAGAAACTGGGAGACAAACAAGACTTACCAAGTGATCCCAGAATGACAAGAATTGTTAAAATCCAGACAAGTACTCTTGAAATGTACCTGATTATAACCATCAAAATCATGGACAACACTGCAAAAGAAGACAAATAAAATAAGTAGAGCAATTATTTCAAGTAGAAATAGCCTTCCTAATTCTCCCACTGCACTAAGACAACTGCCTTCTAACAGAATTTTCACAGATTTATCTTCTGAGGCTTACAAACTCACTGCACAGATAGTTAAGGAAATTAGGCACCTCTACACCTTCTGCTTTGATACCGCTGATTACAACAAAGACAGCATAAGTACATTTACATGGTACATTAAATACAAGACATAATGCGTACATACAGACAGGGATGTGTTTAGACAGTGACAAAACAGACAGCAAGACATGATAGTACTCCGAGTCTGGTAACATGAGCACACCTCCTGAGGACCAGAGCAGAATCTGCACTCAAATACACTTGTCAAACAAGTGCAGACAATGTGACATTCCAAAATGTCATGACATAAAAAAGTAAAAAAATTACTACTTTATTTCCAACATTGAAAATGAGTTCTTTAACAAGGTTTGTTCATATAGTTCCACTACCATTCAGGAACCGTGTGTTAAAAAGCCCTCTACAATCTGAGCCAACTAAGATTTAGTGAGTGGTGTGTGTAAGTGCATGCACATATTTTTGCATGTACTTATTTGTGTGCAGCAGTTACATGAAAACCACGGGAACTTGGCTTTCTGAATCACACAATCTTACCCATTGTTTAAAAATAAATAAATTCTGTTTAACTAAGAAGGTATGAAAAATATTTTTTAAATTAACTGTATGTAAAACTCTGTACTAACTTCTGACTCTAAATGAACAGTAGCACTGCTAATCAACCACTAGCTTTCAAATTCAAAACAGTCTTTCTACCATTATTATCAAACACTGCAGCTGTCAAGATAGAAGAATAAACAGCTTTCCAGTTATAGTTGAAAAGATACTCCATGGTCTTTCATGGGTTTTTTGTTTGGTTTGGTTTGGTTTTTTTAAAAAACCACAAAGGCAGACTGAAAACAGAGGAATTCTTTATCTGGTACAGCTTTGCAGTGTTTCCTTCTAAACCACACGCTGCTCATATACATGGATAGTATCTAGAGCTTCCCATTTTAGGATTTCAGATTTTATAGGTGGTAGGAGTAAAATAAACTCATTAGGAAAGTAATTTATGTGGGTGAGTAGCATTCCACCTTAACTCACAAGAATTTGTTAAAGCAGCACTTCAGTCTAGTGCAATGTGTCACTGCATAGACCAGAGGCATCTCACAACTGTAGAAACGATTCAGCACCTCTATACTACTGGGAATTTACAGCTCTTCAGATAAGGCTGAGATTTTCAAAGGCCTTATGTTTTTAACTTTGGGGGAAGGGGAAGAAGGGGGTAACATACAATATAACAAATGGGCACCTAACTTCCTTGTTTTCCCTCTGAAAGTTCTCATATCCCTGCACAAGTATGTTAAATGAAACAAACTAGACCCCTTACATTGTAGAAGAGTGTGCTATTGTGCACTTCTCACCTTTTCATTTTTATTTGGAAAGGGTTTATTTGGACTTGGGTTAGCAGAAGATGAATATTAGAAATGGGAAAGGTGAATATAATAATAAAAATTAAGATAGTGGGGTTGCTCTGTTAACTACACCAAAAATAATGTTGGCTAATCAACTGCCACACATCATCTATATCTCATTATCAGTGGAAGAGGAGAAAAAACAGGAATGCATATGTGTCTTGCTTCTGAATAAGTTATCCAGCTGTCAAATAACATTTTAAAAAAGCATTCTTAACCATTTTCTAAGGGCTCATTGCTATCATACATTTTTTTGCTCATATTGTGGTTAGAGGGTGTTAACAATCTCCTAATGCAGTACTAAGAAATAGCTAGTAATGAGAAAAACAATTACCTAGTGATAACAAGCAAAGTCCCATTATAATCTCTTTGCTGGTCATAACTCCACTAATCAGCCTGTGTAAGACACTACTGTCACTGACAAAGGTGATCAGGGCCTCTGCAAACTTGGCATAGCAGGAAATGTTCACAGGAGCACAGCGATGGAAGAATGGAATAGGTGCACTGGTGACACAAGAAAAAAAAATCAGAAAAAAAAATTACTCCTACTTAATATAAATGCCACATCAACACACAAATGAAAGGTGAATAGATGCATCCACTCCACCCTCATAACATCATAACCAGAAACCATGTGTTGAATGCACAAGTGCTGCTGGAATGAGGATGATCATAATGGGAAGTGAAGCAGTTCTTACAAGTAACCCTGTGAGGCTGGAGTGCACAGTCCAATAGGAAATTATTACCCTCCCACCCTTAAACAGCAAGGCTCAGAAAATACATGTTCCTATTTCTGCTTAAACATCTCTCATTCAAGCGTCAGGTGGTGAACCAGCAGCTGAAACAATGCTTTTCACTGGTGTTAGAATGGAACACTGGACCATATTTGCAGCAAAAGAAATCCCAGAATGACAATACTCTTCTTGCAAGCATACATGTTATGCTAAAACACATCAGCACTTAACAACTGCTGCCAAGCAAACCCAATGTATTTATTCTTAGTCCTTCCCCATACTAAGCTTGCTCTCGTATTGAAGATTACAATCACAGTGTTTACTTCCATTAACTTTGTTAAAATTATGCACTTACATTCTTTGCAAGACATGCAAAGATGCCTCTATTGTTTCATTTTTCCTGAACTGTTTTGGAAGCATCCTCCCCCAAAATATTGATGTTATGCATTAAACTTTGCAGAATGCTCAGCAGAACCTGTTATCAAGTCCATCAGAGGAAGATACAAGAGAGCAAAAACTTCACTTTAAAAGTCGGCAATTTTGTTTGCTGAATGTTTCCCATTAAGTAGCTGCCTTTCTTGCTCATAAACTATGTCAGATCTCAAAGTGGCCTATTACATCTTTTGATCAATCTTCCCAATTACACCTCAGACACATGTTCCATGAATTACATGTTCCTTCCTGTAATTGTATCCAATGAAAGAAATGTATTTTGTATTACGTCAGTCTTTTCTTCTAACCTCTGAATTTTTTTCACCCTCCTCAATCTTCCTTACTTAAAAGATTTCAGTGGACTGTAGCAGCAATGCACATAACCTTTTGCAGTTTCCCCATTTCAGCAACGACCTATAAACCAGCAATTTTCTGTTCTCAATAACTATTTGTTAAGCCCAGGCACTTCCGAAATTCTAACTGCCATTTTAAACATGTAGTGAGTAAACCAGCTGCCTTAGGCACATCCGTTCTATGCATTGTTTTTTGGGGAAAAAAATACAAGATTCTGAAAACCATCAGTGTGTAATTATTCTGTACAGAATTCAGGAGAAATTATGATCACCTGCCATACCTTGGTAATTAATAGATCCTAGGTTTTTGTTTGCAGTGACTGACAATTGTAAATTACATGGTTTTAAACTCACTGTGCTGAGTAGGTAAATGCATTTGGAAATGCTCATATTGATGGTCTACTTTTAGGTAGTGATGAAGCGCGCAGTTAAGTACAGCAAAGTAATTGTGAATTAGTCACAGTTGTTAAAAACAAACTAAACCCATAATGATGGTTGCCCTATTTAAAAGGTGGCCTGTGTATCCTCTCAGCCTCTTACAACATAGCGTATTTTGGAATATGCAGTGTACTGCAGTTCATTATATGCAGTAATACTGGGAAACGCTGAAATCTGAGAGGTTTATTCAGTTGTTAACTGCTCCAGCTTGCAGAAAGCCTAGAGCATTTAGAAGTTGTCAATATCAATAACGAAGCGCAAATTCTGAGCTGGGAGTAGGCAAAAGACTGTCATTCCTGCATCCAAATATGAAAATACCCATTCTGAAAAGGGAAGCTAACAGGATTAAAATACTGTTCCAAAATACATCCCAGCAAAGGAAAAAATGCTGTTTGTGTACCAGAGTTTACATTACCCATCTAATGTTCCTTAAGCTACAGCAATTTCACTAGACATTTTAAGTTATCTGTTTTCATGTGCAATCATTGATTTCTAATTTTGTTGAAAAGTTAATTAATAAAAAAAAAAGAATGAGGTTAGTGGTTCCTACAAGCTTTCTTGAGTAAATAGGACTCCTGAGAATCCACCTTTTGAGATCTGCTGCTATTTCAGTGGTTCTGACTAAATGAGTGGGTGAGATAAGGTGTCTTGTTTAATAAAAAATACAATAATAGATCTATTCTCAGTGATCTGTGCTATTTTATATGGCCTCTTGATTATAACTTGGTATATTACATACTGAAATGGAATTACATGTTTCTGAGAATAACAACATGATACTTAACAATGAACAAGAGCAAGTAAAGTTCAAGCCAGAAGATGATGATGTTAAAAACTGTATTTTTAAAGCAATATTCAAATGAGGTTGAGAAACCCATCTGATTGTTCAAGTACTAGATTTCAGAGGAGAGCTTTTTCCTCTCACTACTACACCTGGGCATATATAGCAATCTGTGTGTGGTGAGCCTTGTTGGAGCACCACTGCATCCTGCTACTTGGAACCTCTACAGAGCAGCCTCTTGGCATAGCTTGGCACAACTGTTTGATAAACACTGCAGGGAAAAGCTGGATAGGTTTTCCTCTAGGGACCTCCACTTCAAACCTAAACAGCAAAGTCATGCTCTACTGAGGCTGAGATGTGCTAAGCACAGTTTCTGGAAGACTTATGTATCGCTGGCTGCATTGCTAGACTGCACTGCTGTGTCAAAGTTGGACATTGTGCCTTGAAGCTGGAGGATCAGAGTCCATTGAGAGGTGGAGCCTCAACCAAAGGGCATGAAGAAGCCTGGTCATCATACAGAAAACATCAAGGGACAGTCCTCACAGCATACTCTATCTCCATCCCATGGACCTAATGGGAGTCAGATGATGGTTCATACCTCTAACAGACCAAATCTGAAAACAGGAGTGTTTGTTAGGTAAGTTCTCCCTGAATGCCTCAGCCTACAGAGTGTTGGGGTTTCATTTGTTTGTTGCCACAGGATTCCATTTCCCCTCCAAATTACACTAATTTACTCAAATAATTTAACTATAAAAATCTGAAAAGCAGAGTAGTTTACAGATACAATATTGGCCTTTTTTGCTTTAGAGCATTCAGTTCAGACTTTTCAATCTCAGAAAATATTCAAACATATTGAGCATTTTGTTCGTATCAAACAAAAAAGGGCAAATACTCCACCTACACAATAGGTTTTCAAAAACAACTCTTGAGGTAGTTTTTGTGAGGAATTTACACAGTGTCATTAGAGCTCTGACACACTGTTCTATCCTCCTGTTTTCTTATTAAGCTATATTCATTCAGACTGAATGACATGGGAACACACAGAGAGAAAAGTCAATATAATTCTGGCAAAAATTAAGACTGACAAGCCTTTTCAGTATGCAAGCTGGCACTGAAGTTTTCATTTGTTTTTGTATTACAGCTATAACAGCTGGTTAGCTGCATGGAATATTAATCTGCTGTGGGGAAAAGTAAAAAAAAGAAGTTAATATTCCAGCTGCTACTTATTGTCACTACAATATAAAAAAGAATTATTCACTTGAGAGGCTACCATGCAGACAAGAGACTTAAAATCAAAGTTTTTAGAACTGACACAATTATAACATTTAATAAAACCATAACAGAAAACTATGCATAGGGCAAGACTGCAGTTATAACCCACTACTGAATATGTTTGAGAAGCTAAACTTTGAGAAAACACAACATGATTCTTCTTGAGTGAGTGGAATTACTGACAGAAGGGTGTGCACAACAGCAAACAGATCGCTTCTTTTCTCAGCAATGCTCATCTCGACAGTTCCAGCCAGCATAGCTAGCAGGGTTTCTGGAGCTACAATCTTTCCCCTCCTACTTCACAAAAAGCAGCCTAGTAAAATATTTTAAACAATAAAACTCAAATCAATCTGTTTATAAAATACAGCCCTCTTTTTGGTACTTGACCATCCTCGTATTGGTCATTTGGGGACTGAAGGAATAAAAAACGAAGCAATTTGTTAAATCTGACTGGCTGAGGTACGGCGTAAGAAGTGAACACTGCAGAGAGCTGTGTGTGAATATATCCTTTTTTCTCTCAAAGATCCAAAGTGCTCCATAATTGTCTCTGATCTGCACTGCTGACAGGCAGCTGGCTATCAGGTGAAAGGCAGTAAAACAGCTGATACTCAGCACAGCGTCAGTTACATGAGACAGAAGAGAACTTGAAGATACCAGCTCAATACTCTCAGTAACACATGCGTGGATAGTTTGGGTTTTTCTTTAAAAGCTGCTTTCAAAACGTCTTTTAAAAACATGTGGCAATAATACACTAAAACATCCACCTGTAAGACAGAATAAATTTGTGCTGCATATTTTCTAAAGAACTGTCATGAACAAAACAAATCTCTGGTCCCTCTATCCCCAATCAGACAAGATGTTAATATTACCTCTCTGGAACAGGATATTTAGGACATAACTTGGCGGCCCTTGGGTCTGTAGTGTATTCTGATGGCTGTAGTTCATAGCTACACAGAGTGGATCCTGTTGAGAGGAAAAAAAAAAGATTGATGGGGAGAGGGCGATAAAAATCAAATATTCCTATTCTTTGCAAACAGTATTAAAACTGATATAGGTTGTGATTCTGCAGCTCCTCATGTTATTACCACAAAGTTATGCTAGAGTTCCTCCTGTAATGCAACAGTGAATCAAGCCCAACACAGGCTTCAGTGTAACAGAATGACATGCTTCATCTAGTTTTGGGTCTTCCACCGTTTGTGTATTTGAGTCAAAAAGGCTAATTCACAACGCAGTGTAGAAGAGAAGGACACAAACCACTTTGAAGTCACCCTCCCCTGCTACTCCACCATGCTTTTTCTTGATCATTTTTACTGCATGAATATTGCATAAGACAACATTCATTATAGAAAGAAAACATTCAAGTGGGTTTTGGTTTGGGGTTTTTTTTGGTGTTTTCAATGTACAACCTGTCTATAGACTTCAGGGAGAGGAACAAAGAAACCAAACTGCTGAGGTTAGAAAGTTGGCTGAAAAATAGCACAAGCTCTGACCGCATTAGATGTCCAAAGCTTTTAACGAAGCTGAACTCACTCTATAAACTAATTGGTACACCACAATCAAGATCAGGTTGCCTACAACCAAATCCAAACGTAATTTAAGCTTTCCTTAGTACATGACACTTGCCTAATGGAAGTACATTACCCAGACAGATCTCTTCCCATTTGTCTATGATCAAGACACTGAACATCTGAGCCAATGCTTCTAGGAATACAGCAACTGCCAAATCAGATTGGAGCAGCGGTCTCTCAGAAACTGGAGGAAAAGGTAAGAAAGCCTCCAACGGTATAAGCTGCCTATCCAAAGACAAGTTTCTTCCCAAGCTGGTTTGCTAACAGATTGCATACTCCCCAGTGCAAGGCCTCTGGATACATAAGCCTTTAGCGTTCTTTTTTCCTACATAATAAACTAAGGACATCTTGATCATCCCTATAAATATTCAATTCTTTCCATTATGCAAGTGTGCTCTCCAGAAATACTTTCTAGGAGAGGGTTCTACAAACTGGATCTGGGTAATATGTACACACTTTTACACAAATTAAATCAATACTTTTGACTAACAGCCTTATCTTGGCCTGGGTGACACCAAACAGAAATATTATTTGTAGAAATTGTAGAATATTATTTGCAGAAATCTTGTTTACCATTGCCACATTGCTACCTCTATGAAAAGGCATCTTCTATTTACAGACTGAAAGAGAAGACAGAGAGCAGCTGAGCAGGCTACCCCATGCAGTCTCTGGAAAACTACTTAAATACCACTTCTACTAATCAGGTTTTTTGGGAACAGGTCCAAAACACCAAATACACCATTGAAGAAAGTTAGGTATCAGGTAAAACATCTGAACTACATTTTCAGTTATACTGTTTATAGGAATCCTTATCCCTCTACTTGCTTACGTGGAAAACATGGCATCAGATAAATGGACATCAGACAAAACTACCTTCCTTGCATCATAGTTGTAAACGCAATATCTAAAAGTAATTATTATTCTTTTTGGACAAAAGGCTCTATACTGCTGCCAAAATTTTCAGTCTGTTCTTGTAGATATGAAAACTTCCAGATCAAGCACGTTTACAACTCCAGAATTTGATGGAGAGGCAGCAGTAGAGAGAGTCACGTGTTTACCTTAAAAACAGAAGGAAAAAGAAGATTGCAGACATTTACATTTATTTTGTTTTGCTTTGAATATAGGCCAAAATCTAAGTTATAAAGATGACGAGAATAAAAAGTCCTGTAGGAGGAAGTGGGGGGCCTGTACGTGGACAACTCTACACAGATTCATGATACAGAACGTTCAGTGCCAGCTTGGTAATTTTGCCATTCAACACTGCCAGTGCTGAACTACAGTTTAAGTATCTTATGCAGAGGCCCCCACACTTAAGTAAGTCTAAGGGACATGGTTGATCTGTGGATGCCCATGCTTCCTTGCAACTTCCAGCAGTTCAGGCAGAAGGGAAAATGAGCAGGATTTGCTATGGCCAGGGAAGGAGGACCTAGGTTCTTTGCACAAATGCGTATCTGAAGACCTTCTGTTTGTATCACAAATGTAGGCCAAGCAAAATTGAATGCCAGATCCTGACCGGCAACACAGGTCACAAGCCATTCAAGTAGGACTTGTAGACTAGGGTAACCCAACAAACCCCTGGCTGTGGAGGAAACCGGAGGCATCTTGCGAGGTGCCTCTGGAACCCAGCGGCATGTTCCCTCCTGTCATGCAATGGAGCAGTGGACAACTCTGGCTGCCACTATCATCTCTTGCCTGGGAATTGCTCTTGGGGCTGCTCCTTTGGATCTCTTCCCTTCAGCTGTCCACCTCACGTAGCGTGCTTCTTTAGACTCACAGCCAAGCAGGAAAATATTTTCACGGAGTTTGTCAGACAAGGGACATTAACGACCCAGCATCTAAACAAACTACCAGTCCAATAGCTAAAATAATGCCCATGAGACTTATTTGTCCTTATGTCCTATATAATTGGGCAGAATAAGTTTTTACTATTCCATAAATATTTATTTCTTTGTATTTTGAAAACCTTCTGACTTCACTAATACCACTGGGGAGAGTTCTACAACCCAGATGTGTGCTTGAGTAATGTATCACTTTACATCAAACTTAAACTGATTTCTTAACAAAAGAGTCCCTGTGCATCAATAAATAAAAGTTTGAATTTCATAAGGTGAGAGTGGGAGGAATGGGCTGCTTTGCCAATCCTTCCACCCCATGCTAGTTACTCTGGGTTAGTAGAGACCGTCTTAGCACAACCAGTCTTATTATTGCTGTTAGAGTTTGCAAGGCTTGCAAAAGCTTAAAGAAGAATCTGAATCATCTACCTTGCTGAGATAATTAGTTTATCAAAGACACTACCATTATTCCTGAATTATTATCACTCGTAAACGTTTCAAAAACATTATGAGTAGAATTCAGAGAACAAACTAAAAAAATCATTAAAGTAATGCATCCTTTGATTCCTACAGCAGTGCACATATTTCTTCTGGAGAAATATTTAGGCGAACAACATCAAACTGTCCTACGGGGATTGGATTTGAGATCCCAAGATGTTGTAATCTTGAAGAAAAATACTTCTAAACTATGCAGGGCAACAGTTGCCGGACTACAGGTAAGCACACAGAGTTTACTGGTCCCACAGTGCTGTATTTGGTGCTTTCACCTACAAAATGGTATTCTGGAGACACAACACAGCTTCCGTTCCATGATTTCTTTTCCATGACTAGCGTTGCTCCGGCCATTAGAATATTTTGGGGCCACGACTGGAGCAAAGTATCTCAAAAGACAAACTTTCCTGTCAACCTTAACCTAGCCATAGGAGCAAAAGCCACCACTTCCTTTAAAAGCCTTCTTTCTGTTTTGGCTAGGCTTGTATTAGGGAGCAGCTGAACAGCCATTATCTCTAGCATTCTTAAAAACAACTACAATTAGCACAAATTATGTAAAGATGCTGTAGAAAGCCAGGACAAGGATGGAGGACCAAACTCTTATTTCAAAGATTCTTTCCAACTGAGAAGGCAAATTATTAAAGGTCTTGTGTGCTCAGAGGACACAGTGCACAGAATGACAAGACATAGCCCCCTGATTCCCACAGCAGTACAGTAAATGGGAAGTTCCATACTAACCTGAGGTGGTCAGGTGAAACTACTTTTAGAGACCAGAGCTATCCTTCCTGTATTTGCCATGTTGTAAACAAACACATAAAACCTCTGCTACATCAGCATCACTATAAACAGAAAAGTTTACAGCTTGAGAAATGGTAAGACTTCCTAAGTCATCTGCTAAGAGAACCAGCCCACAGAGGAAACCCTGAGAATACTGCCCAAATGATCGTGGTGGAAAGCACACCAGGGGCTCTGGATCCCATTCTGAGCTGCTCAGCAGTGCCTACCCATCTCTCAACAGCGTTAGCAGGAGCTAACACAAAGACTTCCAGATCTAAAAACATGGACTCATATTCAGAGTCAAGGATTTAAGCAGAAAAATACAGAACTATATACAGATACCTGGAATAGGTTCAGTACCAGGAGCAGAAGGGTCATCTTAGGAGTATGTTCTGCTTAAGTTAGGCACACCTCCCAGCAGCCCCACATACTCCTTTTCACAGGCACATGGCAAAGCATAGCCTGAGAAACCAGGAACCACAGCTTTGGCAAGGTAATTTATATGGTCTTCCACATATGGTCTCACTGTTCTGAATCTCACTGACAGTATGCACGTATTGTGCACATGTGACATAACTGACTTCTAAAAGACTGTAGGATGAAGCAGATTATAGTTAAAAAACTCTACATCTTATTTCATTTTAAGCATTCTCTCTCCTTCTCAAGGAACAACCTATTAGTCCATCAGTTATGTAAGTCCTCTAACGCAGGAAGCACACTCCAGGCAATCACAGATAGAAAAACGTGCAGAAATATTAGCAGGA